GGCGTCTCATCATAGGCGGTGCCAGAGGACCAGGTAACTTGAAACCGTCCTTGCATAATTTGTAGTGTTCAGATTTTGTCGGATATGTATTTGAGATTTCAGGGATTTTTTTCATTCTGCCTTGCATCGAGTCGTACACGAAGGTCGACTTACGGACAGTGTCCTTCGACGTACCAACTCAGGAAGTAAGTATTTTCTAACAAACGCCAGCAAGTCCGGTTTGCAGTTTTCCATTATATATGTCCTTTTACTGTCTTTCAGATTCTCACTAAAGATTCGGTGACGATCAGCGTCGACGCAGTCGTTTATTACCGTATCAACAATGCGACGATTTCCGTCGCGAACATAGAAAATGTCCATTATTCAACTCGACTTCTAGCGCAGACAACGCTCAGAAATATACTCGGCACGAAAAACCTCTCCGAAATTTTGTCTGACAGGGAGGCAATAGCCGCTTGCATGCAGGTAGCCAAAAGTTGCATTTGCACCAAATGTACAACATGAAAATTATTTTTGTTGCAGACTATGCTCGACGAAACAACCGACAGGTGGGGAATCAAGGTCGAAAGAGTGGAGATGTACGTGCACAACACTGATTTAAGTTCATCTTCAGTTTTCATCAACATTGTAATTTGCAAATGTCCAATAATTACCAGGCATTAGGAATCACCCTGAAGCGGCTAGCTATTGTGGTTCAGTGGAGTCGAATGCCTAGTGAACAGCTCTAAAGCGGCCTAAGTCTTACATGCTATTTTTATTCTTTGCAAGCAGAAATGCATAAAATGACATGCAACGAGGACTCAGGAACGGCTGAATATATGCGAAACCGTAAATTGTGATTATTCTTACCATTGAGTTTGTGCCCCCCCCCCCTTTGATATGCAAATTTTAATCTCAGTCAAGGGCTTTTATTAAGTTTGAATATCTTGAGTATCAAGTTGTCGAATGTTTTCCTTTACATTTAGATCTGCTCTCATTGTTGCATCTGCATATACTAAATTTTGGGCAGAAAATTTGCGTATCCGCGAAGCAATCAACTAAGCACTTCGTAATTACATTACCACGGCTTATTGACTATTGGACAAACCAGTCAGTCCTTTTAAAACTGATGGCATACAAATTTAAATCGATTCAAGTTCAATCATCTCCGTAACACAATTCATGACCATGAACACATCTGATTAAGATGTAAGCAATTCTTACTAGAGCCTGATAATAACTACATGTTGAAGCGAACCAGCTGCGATAAAGTCCTTATTTATTCATCAAAGTCATCGTCATTAGCGTTTAAGATTATTAAAGCGCGTTTGAAATCAGGTTCTGAAGAAATAACGAAGGAGAATAGTTTCTTTGCTAGCGTAAACTTCTAGTTACCATTATGCCATAAAGTTCTCATTGTGTCAATTCCTTCTACAGGCTACACTTCGCAAATGCATGCGAGGTTTCAGTGTATCAGGGGTTGCCTATTCCTTGCCTCTTGCCAACTTGAAAAAGGCATGAAATGGAATGATATTTTATATTGCGTTTTATGACATGCTCTCCACACGGTCTGGTAGTTATTTCTCAATTTGTCTGCTAAATGTCGCTATCAAGAGGGGGGCCAGTGACATAGTGCTCCGATGCATAAAGCAGTACCGCTTGAGAGTATCTTCGAGTATAGTGCTGCTGTTCTGACAGTGCATGACATGGGTTTCGTTCAGAGGTCTGAAAATAAAACTAGATGTTTTTCTACACTGCGTGATATACGCGTGACATATGTGTGATATACGATATAGTACAATGAGTGATGCAATACCGATGCAATAGTGAGTGTTAATCGGTATAAATCTGCTGGCAATGGTTTCATTGCGATTGAACATTGAAAGGATCAGTCAGTGACTAATATTTAGATACAACCTGGCTGCCAGCTAAATGCTACGTACGTTTTCGAGGACAACCAGATGCGAAAACGAAATCTGATAGAAGCACTTTCAGTTTATTGTAATCTGTACTTAACTTATAACATTCAAATCTTATTTCTGTATGCTTTTCATTGAAATAATATTTAAATCTGCTTTAACGTTTTGTTTCAGAAAAGACGTTCGCCTTCCAGTCCAACTGCAGCGAGCAATGGCAGCTGAAGCAGAAGCTGCCCGCGAGGCTCGAGCGAGGGTGAGAATTCTCTAATAATAAAACTTTTACTTTCCATGGAAAATATATCGAAGTGATCATTAAACCAGCAATGATAAATTAATCGATGAAATTATGCAGCAATTTTCAGTAATCGCTTCACAGATTTTTACTTTTAATGATTATGTCCATGAGTATTTGAGCCTTGGCTAACAGATGCTACAGGGAAGATACCAGCGGATTGGAGAACAGAAGTTGCAATAGCACTGATAAAGATCCATACAAAAGTGTCAGAAAGTAGGTGTCGTAAAATAATTGATTCTAAGAAAAACAAAGCGCAGTGTGGCTTCAGGTCAGGCCGATGCACCTCAGAATGCATCTTTGTGTTACGCCAAATTACTGAGAATTTGAGGGAGTTCGCTCATTCGGTTTACATGTGTTTTGTTGACCTGGAGTAAACTTAGAGCCGGAGTCATTGCAACAAGCTTTTGGCGTCCCGGCAAATGCATGGGATCGAGAGCCAGTTGCTACGAGCAATCTAATCACTGTATGTTGATAGTAGGGCTTCGCAAGAGTATATAGCGCTAACTCGAGGCCTTTCAACGTTGACACCGATTTCCGCCGAAACTACCTTCTGTTCACTCTTCTGTTTATGTTGTACATGGGTAGGATAGTCAGACTGGACAGAGAAACGAGTGTATTTGTGTAGGAGATGTAGAGACACACAAACTGCCGTCTGCTGATGACCTGTTTTGTTAGGTTCTCCCGAAACTCATCTCCAGCGGTTTCTGGATAGGTCCGCAGCCTAATGCGATGTGGACGCATGCGTGGTAACATGTCTAAAATGCATATCCTACTGCGTTCTCGTTCTCCTGATTATCGCGTTCTGCAGATAAATGGATAAAACGTGAAACAGGTAGAGAATTTCAAATATCTCGGGGTCATGCCTACTGGTATTTGAAAATTTGAGGAAG